AAATATGAAAAATAAAAAAAACATAAACAAAGGCATTAAATTACTGGACATTTCTGTCTATGAATTCATTTTTGGGAGTGAAGAAAGTGGAAGAGCGGCCAAAATTTAAGCCTGAAGTTTTCAGATCAAATCTCTGTTTACCAAAGAGGCAAAACACACCACAAAAAAGTGTGTAGATGTCACTGTAACCCTAAACCCCTACACTGGTCACAGGGAAACTGTTGGATGTTAAAAGGTTTTACAAATAGTGCATATAGCACATTAGACATGAACTTTAATAAAATTCAAAATAAAGCAATATAAAGTCTTACTTACTGAACCAGAGTCTCTTCAGCAGGTCGTCATCCTCCATGTCGCCTTTAAAGGAACACCTCCAGAAAAAACCCTCGTGGTATAGAGTGACATCACTACTGCCCTTTCCCTCCAGCACCACATCTCCAGGCTGAAATGGAGAAGAACAATAAAGTGGGGAGTGGATGACTGAGGCTCAGCAGGGAGCGTGGAAGGTCTACCAGTGAGAAGGTCGGTGGTTTGATCCCCAGCTCCTCCGGTCTGCATATTAAAGTATTCTTGGGCAAGATACCAAACCCTGAATCGCTCCATGGAGTTTAGGCATAGAATAAAGAAGTGCTTGATGAATATGTGTGTGACTGGGTAATAAAATATGCTTTGAGTGCTCAATAAGAGTAGAAAAGCTATCATCCATTTTACCATTTGGTTTTTACAAATATGGTACAGATATGTATGCATGCCATTTTGTTAGCTGATGGATTAAAGTATACAAGAGATGTGTCAAAATTATGTGAGGCGGGTGCTCAGACTGCTGCCAAAGTGTTACCGAGTGGTTAATATATTTAGGGTCAAGGATCAAGGGTCAAGCCCAGCAAGCGCACTTAGCTAGGCTTCTAGGGTCTAGGGTCTTTACTGTACAATATGAAGCTGCTTAAGGTGACTGTTATTGTGATTTGGGGTTATATAAATAAAACTGAATTGGTGCCAAATGTGTGTAGAGGCCAACAGACCAGGAAAAGCTCTTCACTGATGCTCACTGAATGGCTCTCAGGGAAATGAAAGTGGAGCTGGGAAGAATCTTGAGGCTTCAGGCTTCATGACATCAGCCGTATCCAGCCAGGCTTTAAAATTAGCCTTACAAAACATTTGAAAGATTTTATTTTTCTGAAATTTTTAAAGGAAAGCAGAAGGTTCTCACTCAAAGCTTTAAGTTTCCACAGGCAGGTGATGATAAATCAGAGGTGTCAAAATACAATTATAGGCATCAGACGTGTGTGATACCTCACAAACAAGTCTAACGATTGAGAAACACTCACTGCACTCTACCCCCTGAACCAGCTCACCGCCAGAGTGGATACGGATGACCACGAACCACCTCCTCAGCATGGATGACATCAAGCTGGATATGCCATGAATGAGTGAGATAATGACTCACTGATCCAACTCACCAGGCTCTAAAGCAAGGACATAGGGATGTCATGCAGAGTAAGTGTGTGGCCAAATGATTGCAAAAATAAGGAAAGTGATCCCGGCTGAAAGGTTAGAGTTGCCAGAAGGCCAAATAGCTGACATACAGGGCAGCTATATCTGTATATATAAACATGTTGGTTTTATTGTGTTGCCATCATGTCTTGATTCCAGCAACAGTGCCAACCCTGAAAACTTAAGTATGCTGTTAGTCGGTGATATATAATACACTAACTGAGACTGCTGGTATTTGTATTTCAATCATAGGGGGCCAAATGTTACACTCGGTGACTCAATCACTACATAGCTGCACACACGCCACATTAAACAGTGTCTTATTACACAAGGAGGTCCTACAGGGATGCCTTTCCACCCTGCAATCCTACTACTGAAAGACTGATTGAAACAACTGATCAGTTTTGAATTTAAAGATCCACCATTAACCTGTATTCTTTATTGATACTTGGGATTGCATAGACTGGAAATACACAGTTCACCTTTAAGAGGTTAAATATGGTGCAAAACAACAATCTGCTGGATTTTTTTCTTATCTTAAAGGAAGAACAACTTTTTTCTCTTTGGTTCCACAGACTTCACATGTAAACAGTAAAAGCCATGAACACATACCTGATCTTCAGCTTAAAATAAACTATACCGGACTCTCTTCTAAGGTCAAAAACTCACCTTTATGGTCACTCCGCCTGGGCCAGCAGATCCATTAGGCCTTAACTGGCAGCTCTCTGAAACCAGCAGCCAGTAATCGGTTCCAAAAGAGAGAAGGATGAACACAGCTGCCAACGCCCCAAAGAGCCCTGCGAAGAACAACGCCACTCTAAGCTTCATGGTCCAGGACTGATCAGCCACTTAGTTACAGGATGCCCACACTCAGTCTGACTTTCCCCTCCAACTAGTGCATGTGACAAGCTGAGTCAGATCCAGTCACTCCTCTTGTTATGTATTATATCCAGCGAGTGAGATAAGTTCAGCTAAGTTTTGTTGGGCTGCTAGACCTTAACACCACTCCTGTCTCTCTGTCTGTGTTATGGGGGGGACAAAGTTGTCCATGTGACACCTTTAGACCCTCCACTGGGGTCTGAACCCCCCCCCACCCCAGTGCTATTTTTGGTTTCTGGCTGTAAGCGGCTGCTTCACTCTACTATGGAGCAGAGTGTGTGCAGCATTTGGAGAGTATGAAGGGAGGGAATTAACACCAAAATAACCGGTGGCAACTGGACACCCAGTCTCTGCACAGGAATGTCAGGGCAGGGTGAGACCGAAAGGACAGAAGAGGAGTAAAGTCTCCCCCAACACTCACACACACATAAACACACACAACAGTGGCTAACGCCAACAGAGTGTTACAAATTATTGTAAATGATGCATTTCGTGCAACTACTTTGCTGATTTTCAGTTGATTCATACAAGTATAATCTATATAAAAATGACTTTTACAAACTAGACCTCGTGCAATATGACACAATAGGAAGTTTAAAATTACTTTATACAAATTGAAGCGATCACACAAAGGAGGTCACACAAACTCTTTAAAGCAACTATTTTTTTCATCGTTTTAGACATTTTTGACACAGATCTCATTTTTTCTATTATACTGGATTTATAAAAAGTATATGCAGCCTTTAATAATGTAAAAGTAAATAACACAGTTACTTATTTTAACTGTGCTAAACTTTAAGTTAAAATTTATCTTCCACTGATGTTTTCGGAAATATAATTTTGTTGTATTCATGCTCAGTGTGAGTTCGGTTTAGCATCTTAGGGGAATATTTAGCAGTAAAACTATAAGGGGACTCTGTCTAATTTACACACTGGTGTGATCCAGGCCACACTCACTCAAAGGTTCGGTATGTGTGTTAGCATCAAAAAGATCAGAGTTTTATCAGATATCATTATTTCTTGTCTAAAACCTAAATATATAGATATATATGTACTGGTTTTTGTTTTGTTATTTGTTAATTTTTTGAGGGGGGGGTTGGTAGCCTCTAAACATAATAACCAGTCTATGTTTGCACAATGTGCTAGAAACGTTTGCAGGTTATGTAACCATGTACATGTATATAGATCTATCTGTATATGTTTCTATAGTGATTTTTGGTGGCACTCTAATAATAAGGTAATAAGGTGGAAACAAAGTTGTTATATGGAAATATAGCAACTAACAATGCTTAATTACCAAAGTAATATTCAAGCACACTTACAAATATTACAGGAAACTTGAATAAGTTATAGTCAAGTTTCAATAATTATTGAATTTAATGACTACATATAGGGAATTATATACTTTACCAGCTAGCTTCTTCTTCTTCATTCTGGCCAGACGTTGTCTAATAGGTCAATAGGTCTCTCGTTCACATTTTTTTAAACGTTAAATTAAATTCTGCTGAAGTGTCTGTTATAAGTGTCTGCAGACTACACTGCAGACTTCTCCATCAACTCCCCACGCTGCCACCTACAGAAGTTCTCTGACGACTCTGCCATAGGACTCAGAGTACAGACAGTGGACTCTGGACTTTGTTGACTGGTGTCAGCAGAACCACCTGCTGATCAACGCCGGGAAAAGGAAGGAGTTGGTGGTGGACTTCCGGAGACGCAGACCACCACACTGACACCGGTGAACATCCAGGGAGTGGACATTGAGATAGTGGACTCTTATAGGTACTTGGGTGTTCACCTGAATAATAAACTGGACTGGAGCCACAACACTGATGCTCTTTACAGGAAGGCTCAGAGCAGACTCTACCTGCTGAGGCGGCTGAGGTCATTTGGAGTACAGGGAGCGCTTTTAAAGACCTTCTATGACTCTGTGGTGTCATCTGTCATTTTTTACAGTGTTGTATGTTGGAGCAGCAGTTTATCAGCAGCTGAGAGGAAGAGGTTGGATAAACTCATCAGGAAGGCCAGCTCTGTTCTGGGATGCACCCTGGACCCAGTACAGGTGGTGGGAGACAGAAGGACTGGCCAAAATAACATCTCTGTTGGACAGAGTCTCCCACCCCATGCATGTAAATGTTGCTGAACTGCAGAGCTCCTTCAGTGACAGACTGCTGCATCCTCGATGCATGAAGGAGCGTTTCCGCAGGTCCTTCCTCCCTGCAGCTGTCAGACCGTACAATCTGAACTGCTCCCAACAAACATAGATGTTTACATCAATGCTGTAACTGCAATAAGTTAATTAACCAATTCGCACTACAACCTGGTTTGCCTCTTACCTGTAATTATTTTTATTTAATTTAATAACTGTACTCTCTGTTTATAGTAACCACTGTCCTTAATGTAAATATGTAAGAAAAATTGTGTATGTTTCTGTTCCGTGTCCTGTGTACTGTTTGTTTGTATATTTGTCTTTTTGGCTGCTGTTACAACCAAATTTCCCCCTTGTGGGACAATTAAAGGATTATTCTATTCTATTCTATAATGTTTTGGAAACCCCAGCAGGTGGCGTACAAGTAAACCTCCCTCTCTGATAACATCTAAAAACACCTTTCAACAAAACTCTACGACAATGTTAATACTATCTATCCGATACGAAACGCAGTGTTGCTGTGAGTTAAGTAACAACATTAGGTGGGTTAGACTACAATCTACAGTGCTGAAAATATCTGCCGTTTTTTAGTAGCTATAACAAATATACAAAATAACAAATGCGAAACAAATTAAAAGAATTTAAGATAAAGGCTAAACTTTTTTTTCTAAACAGGTAAAAATAAAAACGCTTTATGATTTTCCACAAATTATTGGGAAAAATCACGGGGAAAGCGCATATTTTGTGACGTCAGTGGGTTATACCATCTATGGGTGTTTCAGACCAGCCAACGCGCCGGTTCAGCAACTCTTTAATGAACCCAGACTTAAAAAGTCAAGTTTATCGTAGGTCGAAAACTCGATAGTCTTATTTACAGACACCCAGCTTTCACATCGGACACGTTTTCTCACACAGATAAAACCCGGAAGCTTGCGATCACCCCGTCCTTATGAGACCACCGCTTCTGTTTGGATAATTAGAGCGGATGAGCGCTTCCGCCTTGGCTGTAGCCGTGCTGTCAAAGTGGGAGGATGATCAACCAGAAATGTAGCACTTTATTACTGAAAGACAGAAGACGGAGGAGGATTATAAAATGTATCTATGTGGTGGGCTTCATGGTGAGTGCCTCACTGAGAGATGACCCCACTCAGTTCGGTGTTTTTTTTTAGGTGTGCTGTTTCCTAGTCATGCTTTCGTAACTCAGGTATGATGATGTAAAACATGCTGGGGCTTTTTAATCCCTTCCTTTTCATATTTAAAACTCTGTATAATGCGTACTTGTTGTTTTTTGTTATTTTAGCAAAAAAAAAAAAAAAATAGAATACATTAAGACATTTATTATTCATACAAATAATAAAAGGAAAAAGTTCAAGGAAGTTGCGAGCTAAAATGAGTTTTCCAACATGCAAATAATAAACCTGAGCTCTTTAACCTGAATCAAACTCTCACAATAGCCCTTATTACGCGTCATATTTGTCCCGTACTGAAAAATTAACTTCTGCACCACGTTTATAATTTTTGAAGCCCAAAGAAAGGAAACTCTAGAGCTTCTGCACTTAGTTGCTTTGACTGGATGTGAATGTATTAAGCACAGTGTCGGTCCAAAGTCTGTTTATAGAGCATTAGACTCAGCACGACTGTGGTGTTCTTGGAAATCCTTGCTGGAGACAGCTGTCATGTATCTACAAGACCTTTTATAATAACCATTGTAATGCTTGGCTACTAAAAGAAATTAAGATGAAGGTATTTCCTAATGTTTTTGGCGTTACCTCTTCAAAGCATCGCTGTCAGTACTGAAATGCAAAGTTGATCTACAAGTCTAGATCATTCTAAAGGTGTTATTTTAAGAGCTCGCCTGTAGTCGTGCCTCAGAGAAATAACTTTGTCATACCTAGCTAAACAATCATCCAATTAGAGATGACTAGAGGGATCCAGTCAGCTCAGATTTATTTGGCACTGTGCAGCACTGGCACAGTAAAGCTACTGAAGGTTAAGTAATTTCTGTAATGGACTGGGTCAGGAACACTGTATGAGCTGCTGTGTGACTTCAATCAAGATTTTGGCTCGGAGAGCTGCTCTGATCTCAGGAGTGCAGGAAAAACAGGATGAGCAACAACTCTACGTGGCTGCTGAATCCGGCCACAGCCTCTCCCTGCTGTATGCTGGACACCATGTTTGATTCTCACGTTCCGTCGGCCTCACTCCACCTTTGTTCCTCCATATTTCTTTACAGGACTTGTTTGGGGTGAGCATGATCATCCCACTGCTGAGCCATCACGTGAAGGCTCTTGGAGCAAGTCCCACTGTGGCTGGTATTGTAGGTATGTTGTTTCCGCAATACATAACAGTTTGTTTAAATTATGCAGCTGGTGTACTGCAAGCACCAACCTTACAGTGACACAAAAGTGAATAAATCTCCAGCAGACTGGAAGGCTGTGGAGACTACAAGTGACAAAACAATCAAACAAACACTCTCAATAATATATTGTTTAATCCTCACTTCTGTACACTGTATGCACAATATAATATGGGAATGTCCCAGTGCCATGTTCTGTGATTATTTTTATTGTTATACATCAATTGAATAATAGTTTTTTAGGAGTATGTCAGGACCTTGTGTTGTTGAAAGATGAGCCGAATAATAATAGCCATAGTCATCAGGCCCCTTATTAGGTGCACTTTTCTACTACCCTTCAGAAGTGCCTTAACTCTTCGTGACACAGATTCAACAGCAGCTGAAAACATTCCTCAGAGATTTTGGTCTGTCTTGGCACAATACACCAAAATCTGCACATCTGTGCTGCGAATGTCCCGTGCCACCACAAAGGTGCTCTATTGGATTCAGGTCTGGTGACTGTGGAGGTCATTTGAGAGCACTGAACTCATTGCTATGTTTAAGAAACCAGTTTTAGATGATTTGAACTTCATGACGTGGTGTGTTATCCACCACCACCTGAACTGTTGTCCAATCTTGAGGAACCCGTGCAAACTGTTACTCTGGTTTTCTATTCTTGGCTGACAGCAGTGGTACCTGGTGTGATCTTCTGCTGCTGTAGCCTATCTGCTTCAGGTTCGCTTAAAGTCTTATGCATTCAGAAATGCTCTTCAGCATAACTTGGTTATAACGAGTGGTTATTTAGCATCAGGTTGAACCAGTCTGGCCATTCTCCTCTGACAGACAGACAGGGTGTAAAGACATTTTCACCCAAAGAACTTCCGCTCACTGGATATTTTCTTTTTCGGCCCATCCTCTGTAAACCCTCGAGACAGTTGCCACATTCTAAGTCACTTAAATCACCTTTTCTGGTGCTCAGTTTGAACTTCAGCAGGTCATCTTGACCATGTCTACATGCCTTTGAGTTGCTGCCATAAGTTTGGCTGATTAGATATTTGCTAGTAAGTACACATACCTAATAAAGTTGCCAGTGCAGTAGTGTATATACAGAGTGATTTACTGTAAAGACATACCCTGACTCTGGGCCTTCCTCTGCACAGCTGTGATGTCGCTGTGCCAAATATGCTGCAGATATCACTGGATTCAGAGTCGCTATGCTGGGGAAAACTCTGACACAATATTTCTAAATTTCCCCCATGTGTCACTGTCACTGTATGTTTTTTAAAAAATAAGTTATGTCTATTATCTGCAAAAAGTTACATTAGACTCACTGGATCTCTGCGCGTGTGATGTATGCTCTGTGGGGGTTTTTTTGAAATGTAAACTTAAGCAAATCTTCTGTTGCAGGATCTACGTATGGGATCTTGCAGCTTTTCTCGAGCACTATAGTTGTAAGTACTAACTCTGCAACCATTTTGGTCGAGACATTCTTTGCCATCCCTGGAATTTCATGAAAACAATAAACACTGTCTGTTTTAGGTCACACAATGCACCCAGTCTCCATCCCTTCATACACACAAGACACTCCTACTTAGCCCCAGTTGTACAGATTTTTATTTATATATATATATATATATAAATAGATTTTTACCCTTTTTCTCCACTACTAATTGAATACTTTGAAGAGACTTTGTTTTATCTGTGCAGTCCTTTGGGTGCCATAATGAAAAATCAAATCAGAACCACATTCAAATGCCACACAACAAGCATTGTATCTGAAGTTGGATACGCAGCTTTACCCGCCCATCCAAAAGTCTTGAAATTGGTTTAAATTCTCGGGGGTCATGGGACAAATTAAACAGATAAGGAGTCATCTGTTAGTTCCTGTATTCAGACCGGCTGATTCCTGATAAATGTAGGGATGTGTGAACAGCTGGGTCTCTATGATAATCCCACCCATCTCAACTGGTCCTAATTGTGTTATTTCATCAGATGCTTGTATGCGTGTGTGAGAGAGGGTGAGAATCTAATAAAGACTTGTGTGACAGCCTCGATTCAGGAAATGCAGCGTTTTAGGATTTTTCTCGAGTCAGCTGATCTTTCAGACTAACAGTCACAAATCAGAAACAGAATTTAATTTGGTATATTTTTGTCTGCCCTCTGTTTGTCTTGGTTTTTCAGTTATTTGTCATGAATCTTCGAGCAATTTAGCATCAACTCCCTCTTTTCAGATGTTTGGCAGGGCTGTGGAAATATCCGTCATCTCACCGCTGAAAATGAGTTCGGGAATTATAAACGTTTACATTTTTTCTGTGGTTGCGTTTCATTTCCTCTGTGTGATTGGCAGGGCAGCTGGAGCGACGTGGTGGGTCGGAGGTACTCTCTGCTGACCTGCCTGCTGCTCAGCGCTCTAGGCTACGGCCTGCTGGGGATGTCCACCAGCATCGCTTTGTTTGTACTTGCACGAATACCTGTGGGTAAGTCGGAAACCTCAAAGGGCCGCATCACTGGTGTTTATCAGCTAAGTCACATATCCATACCTTAGAGAAGGATTTATCTCATACCTTTTTTCCCTCAATGAATAAAAACTGCATTTCACATTTACTGGGGTTATCTTTGTCTAATATTAAAATGTGTTTGATGAACTGAAACATGTAAGTGTGACAAATATGCAGGAGGCAGGAAGGGGTGAAGTTCTTTTTCACAGCTCTACATAACATGCCTGAGGTTTTGTTTTACTTTTTTCTTCATATAATCTCCAGTGTCTCCTGCATTGAAGGATATTTATCAGCATCCTTCCACTGACCAAGCTTTAAAGCTTCATGTTATGAACTCAAACCTACCTTATACTCAGAAATATAAATGCTTAGCAGCTTTTTTGTTTGCTTAGTTTCATTAGAAAACAGCAGGGGCTCTCTGCACCTTGGTTTCAGCACATTTTATCACGTCCACTTACCTATATTAGATATAATCCGATTAATAAATTAATCTTAGATTAAGTATTAACAGTTGTGTGGCTTGAGAGCCTTTTAAGTAGACTGTTATTCTGCTGCCTCTTCTCAGTGTGTCTTCTGTTTCAGGGTTGTTCAAGCACTCACTCTCCATCTGCAGAGCTCTGCTGTCTGACCTGGTGTCTGCTTCAGAGCGCCCTCTAGTGATGGGACATTTTAATGCAGCCTCCAGCGTGGGCTTCATCCTGGGCCCTGTGGTGGGTGGCTACCTAACTGAGCATGAAGGAGGCTTTTATACATCCTCTTTTACTTGTGCAGCCATCTTCATTATTAATGCGGGTGAGTTGGAAAATGAAAGTAATAAACTGAGTTCATGAAGGTAAAAATTAAAATGTATGTCAATATAGCGTGTCTGTCATTGCAGGCCTCGTATGGATGATACCACAGAGTGAGACTCTGGCTGACCGTAATGACACTGTCTGCAGAAACGACACGAGTACAGGGTATCACGAAATCCACTTTAGTAAATCTGTACAGAATGGTTCTCATACAAATAGCCACCACCCATTGCTGACAGCAGAGACGCAGCAAGAGTCTACATCTCCTGGAAAGCATCAAGGTGGTTTCAGGTGGAGGGATGTGACTTTTCTTCAGCCAGTCTGGAAACAGCTGTCCTCAGTAGGCTCCAGGATCCACATAGTGGCCTCATCTGACATGTGGGACCTCTTCCTTGTGCGTCTTCTGATGGCCATAGCTATCATGCTCTACTACAGTAACTTTTCTCTGGCCATGGAGGAGCGCTTTTCACTCAAACCAAAAATGACCGGTTACCTGATCAGCTACAGCAGCACTCTAGGGGCCCTGGCTGGGTTCCTGGTGGGGCCAGTCACGCAGCTGTATAAGAACAACATGCCCGCTTTACTGCTTCATTCGACGGTGCTCACCTGTACACTTATTTTCCTCTATGCTGCTGCGCCGAATGTTTGGCAGGTGCTGCTCACCTCCACCTTCTTTGCCATTTCTACCACTATCGGCCGGACATGCATCACAGATTTGGAGCTGCAGAGGGGCGGGGTCCAGGCCAGCGGGACTCTGATTGGAGCCGGGCAGTCAGTTACAGCTGTGGGTCGAATCCTGGCTCCTCTCCTGTCTGGTTTGGCGCAAGAGTTCAGCCCTTGCGGCCCCCCAAGTCTAGGAGTGGTGCTGGCCCTCGCAGCTGTGGCTTTACTACTCATCAGAATCCCCAAATGGGACGCGAGGGAGATGACAAAAACAGCCAAACTCAGAAACTCTAAATGAATTTTGAAATCACAAAGAAGTGCTCTTAATTGCAGGAGACCAGCTGGGACAATGAACAGCAGACTCCTCGAGGGAACGGTGAAGCCAACTCAAACGTGTTATTCTTAAACAGGGTAGCCCTTCTGTTGGTGCGATGACATCACAGAGTGGAAATATTGTGACGTTTCAATCACACCAGCACTGAAGTCTTCGTCTCGGGGACAGGTGAATCAAAAGTCACGTGCACTGTAGGAATGAAACACGGCTGCAAAATGCTGACGTTTGACAGCAACTTTTGGGCACAAACTACTGGATTATGACTGACTGTATTTTTATGACTTTATTTTTAATGAAGTTTTGTAACCACTGCAATTTAGCTGGAGTTGATGAAAGCAGGTCTGCACTACATACCCGAAGAGGAGGAGGATTTAATTGAAATAATACTTCATTCATTAAATTAAAATTAAAAAGATGACTATCAAAGGCAGGCTATTACATTTTTACCTCAGTGGGGTTTTTTGTTTTTTATTCTAATGCAAAGTGTCCGAAATGGTCGTTATAGCAGTATCTGATCTAATGTTCCTCTTTGACTGATCATAAAAAAATAAAGATTTGTTAATTTACTTAATTAGAGGCTTAAATGCGTATTTGTTATTCACTGTTTTTAAGTTTTATAACATTAGTTTCAACACCTGTTTACTTGCATCACCAGAGCCAGAGAGGTGTAATATGAAGTGAGATGAAACACATAACTCACTATGGTGTTAGAGTTTTATGTGTCACAATTCTTTTATTTACAGCGTGTTGTAAGTGCAAATTTTCAGCTGTGCAAATATGCGTTATATGTGCGAGATGTTACTAGGGGCACAAATTAAGCCCAGCTGTAAAAATAACAGCAGAGCCAACCGTGCATTGCAATGTCACTGTGCATGCATTCATGATGCAGAAAATGTCAACATTTTTATACTTGGTTTTAATCTATTTAGTCTCTTTTACTCTCTCGTGCACACAGGTTACCTGTTCAATCAATAAACTGAAAGGTTTCACAGTTCTAATGTGCAGCCATCACTTTAGAAATGAGAGTGCACTCAATATTAAAATAATTAACTTGAATTAAAATGTGTACTCTACCCCTCTCTGCACTAAATAAGCAGATTAAGAATTTTCTGCAGCATTCATTTCCTGTCTTGTCTTTCTCTCACTTTTACATGTTGGTATTGTTTATAGATTTTTCATCACTAGTCAGTCATCATCTGATGTTGTTTCTGGTTGGAGTAGGTGGCGCTCACAGGGATCCTGTTGTGTGGGATGAGTGTCATGTGATATGTGAAACACCCCTTTTTATGTAACTGCACACGGAGCCTGAAGCAGAAAGTCCGACTTGGCAGACAAAGTTAATAACTGCCATCATAGGTTTTGTCAAGCCAGCTAACTCAGAGAAAGCCTGGCTGTGTTGAACTTCCTTCATATTACACCTCTCTGGAACAGTTGGAAACGCTCTCTTATACATTTATTTCATTTATCTCTAGGCTCCATGAAGGACCTGCCACAAAAAACTGTTACAGCAAATAAACAGTTTGTACTTTTGTTTCTGTCTCCTGAATTGTATTTTTAACCATATTAAAAGCATTCACTTTTAATATCTGACATCATTTTATTCAGTGTCACAAACCTTATATGTCACAAAACTTATCAGAAGAACTTTCAACAAAGAAAATTTATTACAGAATAAAGGAAAGCAGCTGGGCCAGAGGGACCATCATTGTCAGGCATTCAAAAAGTACTTTGTACTGCGCAGCAACAGCTTGTTTGACTAAAAACCATTTATATACACACAAAATGTACATCTTCAGTCATGTAACTATCACACAAGACAATAAAATACAAAAAACTATCCTATTTACACAAAGGGCAAATGTATAATGACATAGTTTAATTAACCTCACCTTCCACATTTAAAAACTCCTACATGAAGAAAAAAAGACATTTAAAATTATTTTCTAAGACTAGTTAAAATAAGTACATGTGTAAAAAGTCTCACAGTTTATTTACACTATAGTTGCTACAGTTCACTGTTGTTATCATCAAATAAGGAATATAAGCGGCGAGGATGAGGCACGCGGGAATCACTGTAGGAGGAGTTTGTCCTGAACACACCCTGCCCTGTACTGCTGCTCTCTTCATTCAGAACATCAGTAGATGGTACTTCTTCCAGAGTGCCCAGCCTGTGCAGAGGTATCATGGCTTTGGAGGAGGAGGAGCGTGCGGGCTTGCCAAACCGGGAGCGTTGAGATGGGTAGGCAACTTCTGAAAGGGTCTCATGATCATCTGGGATGAGATTGAAAACAAAAAATAAAATGGTAAGGTACACTCATACTAACACGCTCACTATGACAACATGGTTATGTTTAACTACTATACCAACAACTTGTCAAGTAGAATCAATCACAAAGTACAGTCCTAAACCTTACCTGTGCTGATTCACAAATCAGATGCTGACCTGATCGTGGAGCTAAACATTTCATGGCAATGCGTTTGCACTCACATCATAAATGTTGACCTCATAGTGGTGTTGGACAAGAGCCGGTTAATGATCTGAGTCTATACGCTTCATGAGGAAGGCAAAACTGTTCAAGTTTTGTTGTCCACGAATAATGTGGGTAAATTATTCATCCATTTTCATTCATCTGGTTGAAGCCCATGTCTGCGACCATCATAGAGCTAACCCATGAGGATAAACAGCCACACACACTCACATCTATTCCTACAGTCAATTTAGGATCACAGGTAAGTCCTCAAAAAGCCTTGCTGCTTGAATTGAACCCCAACATAAGGAAAAAGGCTTCTTTTTAATCGTTTCCTTTAGCAGAGGATGCATTGAACCATCCTTTATGAAAGGAAGGTGAAATGATGCCATCCTACAAATTCTAGCAATACACAAACCAGCCACTCAAGAAACCAACAAAGAGGTACAAATCATTCAAATGAGCATTACAAGTGCTTTGTTCTAGCTGCCATTGGTCGGATGGACAAATTATAGTTTTGTTACTGTGTGGGTTACACAATGCTTATTATTAGTTGTTGTTTCCAGTATTTTGTACTATACTTATTTGTTGTCTGTTGTGTTTGCACTGAGAGTGTGCATGGTAGGATGGATGGCTTGCTGCAGAACAAATCTAACCACCAAGTACAAACTAACCTGAACCTGTTTTCAATTTCATGCCATAACCTGCTGGTAAAAACTGGACATTTTGAAGAACCTCTTAAAGCTGCTGGTGAACCACGACTCTTACGCTTCTGTGATAAAATCTACTTGTCAAGCTGCTGTCTTGAATGTAGATTTATATATACAAACTCTCCCTTTTGGTATTAAATGATCAAAATGTGTTTAAGGTTCTACGTAATTCAGTTTGTATTAATAAGATTTGCTGTTGGACTGCAGACTTTAGGACGATCACTTATCAATTTACCCAGCAGGAGTATATAAGAAAGCAGGATTTAATTTGTTTTACAGGCTATGGAACAAATTTGCTGGTGCAGTCGTTGCAGGCTGATCTACTAATACTAATTTACATACCAAAAAGAGCACCACTGTGGCACATTCTTATATGTGCACATCGCTCTGTTTTGGGGAGGGGGTTTCTGTTTTTTCAGGAGACACATACTGTGACATTAATGAGACTGACAAAGTCTTATTAATAGTTTTGGGGGTGGTTTTCTGATACCAGGGAGATAAGTTACTAGCTTGGACCACGTCCTCATTTATATTTGACTCCATTTCTAGTAGATAATGGCAGATAGCGTAAGCAAGAATCGAGGCAGCGGTTTTGGGGAGGTCTCGGAGGGGACTGGCGGCAGCTTCCGGGCCAGACAGATCTCCGTGTACTAATGAGAGGGAGATGAACTGAAAAAGGAAGAGTGGGACAAGAAAATGAAAACAGCTTGTAGTGCAGGGGTTTCATATACAGACAGAACTGTAAAGGGAGTCCCACTCCTAAGATTCAGATTAATTATCTACAAAGCACTTCATTTGTTCTGTGCACACTGCTGAGAAAAGACAATTCATTTCAGTTCTGATGAATTAAGGCTCGAATCAGGTTGAAAAATTCCAAACTTTGCAAGGAAGTGACGTTTTCATCATTTATTCTCATTTATATGAAGGGTAAGGTTGTGTTAAGGGATTTCAAAGATAATCTTAGTTTACCTGTGTAGTGCCACCTGGCAGCATCAAATCTTGACTCCAGACTCTTTCCAGCAGGAAGTGAGAAATACTTGTGTGTCCTGGGCACGTTCTAAGAATAACAATGGGAAAAAAAACTTGATGAAAAGTGGTGAGAACATTTAATCTAGTGTTTGAATTTCATGTGTTTGCAGGTCAAGAGATGATCAGCTCAAAAATAACATTTTTAATGTGACTGTTATTTGCCCAAAGTACTTCTAATTAAGACCCAAGGGATGTACCTAAAATCCCAACCCACGCTCCCAACAAAATAAATAATTAATTAAAATAATACAAATAAATTGGGCAAGGTAGCTTACCGATGACTGAAAACTACGAGGTCGGAGGCTTCGTCGAATGGTGGCATGGCGCCTGATCAGTATCTCTCTGGTCTGGCTGTCATTGGGCAGAGCATGTTTTCCTCTGTATGCCACCGTCTAAGTCCAAATACATAAATCAGTTGTCTAATTACAAATAACAGAAGGTCAGAGAAACACACACGGAAAACACACAGTGAAGACATAGACTTAAAAACTCCATAAACAAAATCCATGACCACTGTCAATGCCAGGGACTTGAGACAACAGAGGTTCCCACGAATGGACGGTTCAGACGCTCTTAGTGGGGACTGCACTGTTTAAAGCTCAGATTACGCCACCAAAACTGGAAACAACTGGTTTGAGGCAGGGGTAGGTGTCTGTGTGTGGACTGCTACCTTAACCTGTTCCATGCAGTAAACCCACCCCTGGTTCTGACCTGCAGCCATTAGTTAAACCAAAAACAAACACAACTGCCTTTAAAACCCTCCAAAGGTCACCACTGTGTTTTATAAAGAGGTCGCATGACAATATTATGGGCCTGTATGATGTCACCAGAGGCCAACACGGTTTACAGTTAGCATTTTTATCAAATATAAAGCATTTAAAAAATAAATTAATAGTGACACGGTGATGTCAGTTTTGTGTGAAAGAATCACAAATATGTGAAAATAAGACTTGAAACGAGCTATTAAGGCAATGTGATGAACTGTGAAACAAACCACAGAAGAAATTCCATTAAAGCATCAAAGAGTCTGTTAAAAGGGTGATGTCATGCCACTAATGGAAAAGTACTGCTGGCCACCGCCTGTGGCTATGCAAAACAGCACAGAGTTTCACTTGTTGGGATCGTCGGTATGAGAAACAGAACAACATCGAGGGGCGCTTTTCTCGTTTGTGTCAAATTAACGGACATTTTTCAAACTTCATGTTTTTCAAGTAAAATGCAAAGAGGTGCAGCTGCACGTGGCTTTATTTTAGTCAGCTTTATCGGGGGTTTTAATCGTTTTTAAGCAGTTGAGCATGTGCAAAGCTGATGCTGAACTACGTTACCATGTATGCAAAACAAACAAAGGTTCAGGTTTCACACTTCTGAGATGTGCCGTCATCTGTCAAAAGTTGACAATGACAACGCTTAAAACGCAAAAGCTTGAAAAGTAGTGGTATTAGTTTTTGCACTATGGTAGTAATAGTTTTTGTGTATTATTCATGTCGGTGTAGCTGGAAATTGCTCCATCGTTACTGAAAAGATCCGTCACCAACTTCAGACTAAAGAAACATTGATGTAAAAATGAATGACATGTACAGATCTTAACATTTCAAACTGCAAAAAGTATATCAGCAAAATGTAATAATTCAAATTTAGTAATTAAATAAATCAAAGCTTTTTATACATTATATATTATATTAACCTGTCTGGAATTTAAACAGCTTCTTCTGTTCTTTGCCTCCCTCTGCTCAGCACTCAAACATGTCAAATATGACAGGTGCTTCCAACTAGTTTGCTGTTTTAATGAGTTTATTGTTTAACTATAGGTATAGTTTGTTTGTTTTTTTTTATTGTATAGGCCTTTAGTGTAATTTCAATCAAATGTTGCAGAGAATAAGCACAACATTTGCTCCAAAGTGAAAAGAAAGTGGAAGAACTACCACAATCATAAATCAACTATTTAAGTGCAGTATTTGATTAAATTTGCAGCTACGTTCTGACACTGTGACAGACAAACTAAACAGAAACCAAAAAAAGAGCATATAGCAAAGATCCTTTCTTTATCTTACCCGCTCCCTGATCTTGTACATGTTCTTGGACAGGATGTCGTGGATGTTCCTCAGGTCAGCAGCCAGGAACTTTTTCTGGAGTTTAGAAGAGCTTTTCTGTTCCTCACTTGATTTTAGAAAATAATAAGCAGTCATTAGTAGCTCTACATTTGGTCTTGACAGGTAGAAGAGAGAGTGATGTGATGAGTGCAAAAATCATACGTACGAGAGGGAGACGATGGAAGGAGCAGCGCTGA